TAAGTTTGCTTGTTCTTTCTGCTTAAAAAGTTTCATGTTTGTCAAACCATAGCCACAAGTCACCTTTTAAATTATGCATACAGAAAGAAAACTATTGCCACTACATTCCCTGAGGCCTGAAAACTGCCTGTGTGAAGACAATTAAATCTTCTATTATAAACTATTTTTAGTCCACACAATGCTCCTACGCAAATACTTTGCCATGCAGACCATCTGTATTTACTCAAATAAGCAATAACAATTAATTCAGTTTTTTGTCAGATCCCATTATTGACCTGAAGCTTAGTGGAACAGAGATGAAGGATGAAACACCAATTTACTCTCTTGATGAGCCACTCTTTGAATTCAGAAGAAAATGGTGTGTAATTCTGCAGAGTCTCTGCTACTTGTGGGAATAAGATCAAGGCACAGATAATATTTAGTCAATCTTCTGTGGCCAAGCATAAGCATTTAAGGCCACTGAAATTGCTAGATTGGCACACTTCTTAAACATATCAGTGCACATGGGCATTGCATGTGCATCGTGAAATGAGACTACATTATTGGAAAGGAATCCATTTGCAGTGGCAGGGTGACCACATCGACACATTCATTGTGTCCTCTCTTAACAATAAAAACTACAAGTCATAGTTCAGTAAGAGTTTAAGCTGAGATAGCAACAGAAATAAGTGCCTTGTGTTAGAATTATCGCAGCACTGTTGGTATAGGATCAAAGTGGCAGATAAGCCGGTGTGTTTGGCGGGCAGTGGGTGTAGAGAAAGGGGATCAGTCCACAGCAGTGTTCAGAGGCCCAACACCTCCCTGGGGAAGAGAAGATCGATGCTGTTGGACATGGGCCAGTCACACAGACTCTGCCTATAGCCCCATGTATCCAGCCAAACTACAGCAACACACATATACTGACAACATTTATGGTGATGTGGGACACTTTTCTATGTATTTTGGGACATATTTATGTATAACAACATATACATATGTATAACATAATTTGAATAAGGAATCAATCTCTCAACAGATAAAACAGTCATGTCCTTTTTCAGAACAAAGCATAATTCAAACAAAATGGAAAGTGCTTCAAAATCCACCTTCTGTAACACACCAACCAAGACCTGACAAGATTCCAAAAAGGAGATATTGTTAACTTAAAATTTGATACACTTTTTCACCACACATGGACAGTTTACAATATTTGTAAGCATTTCATTAATTATTCTTTACAACCAGTTGCAATTGCAGTTTTGTGAAAAACTGTCTTTCTGTAAAAAACTGCATAACATTTCCACTTGATTGAATCCAGAAGCAGATTAGTATCGTCTTTGTTGTTGAATAATGGCTTAACATTTGTGAACCTGGAGTCAATCACGATATTTTAGAATAACCACTGGCAACATACAGGTGGTGATTGGTGAGAGATGAACCAGAAGTTTTTTTTTGCATTATTGTAATGAATAGAATCAGCCAATGTCTGGGATCGTGTCTTTCATTCAGACAGAAGACATGTTTTATTGTCAATGGTAGAGACAGCACGAACAACACGAACAAGGGATGTTACAAGTTGTAATATACTCAGGAGAAACAGAGACCTCCATTCAGCAGCTGCCACAGTGCCAGCAGAGATAGTCAAAACAAGTAGTGGAAAAGTACAGGCTTCTGCACATTGATAGAATGATGAGTTTAACTTTAACAAAGGTTGCTTAAAAGTGTTATGAAATCTCACAGTAATCTCAGATGCAAGACAACTCAACACACTTGACTCAAACTATACAAAACTAATGACAGTAGAAAACTCTTATTACAAGCTCATGAAACAAAATTTGCCATAATAGGTCCCCTTTAATGAGCCAAACCAGAATGGATCAAGCCTCGGGAGCAGTAGCTCGGTTAGTAGAGCGAGTGTTCTCTGAGCTGAAGGTTGGTTGGCATAAATATCATTTGTCGGGTTCAGAGACACGGACTGAAACCAGATCTCATTAACAAATGCTGCCATTGAGTCCTTGAGCAAGACACTTATTAAAGCCCCAGTATGTGCATATGAGCAAGCAATGAGTGAGTGGTTACTTGTATACATGTGACCAGTTACCGTTTATCTAGTATGGAGGTGAGAAACTGTAAACTATGTTAAATTAACAATTGGATTTCCATCTGTTGTCCCAGTCACACACATTCACTCCTAAACTATTGTACATGTTTGTAGTGGTCAGGGACAACGGAGACCCGGAGGAAACCTACGCGCACACAGGGAGAAAATGCAAACTCCTGGCAGACAGACAAAATTAGATTGCACTCAGCTTAAACTTTTGTTTGCAAGGGCATAAACAGGCGTTTCTACAAAGCATGGCTTTGCTGAAGTTTATTAAGATGAAGTCTAGGACAGCTAACTAAATGCACATGTGTCTGGGGTGCAGAATCTGCGGTGCGTTTGCTGTCGTCATTTCGCACTGATTACAAGGAGCTGTAAAGATGTCCCACAGGGGCCCCTCCCCAAAGCCACGCACAGAGGCTTCTCCTAGAGTCAAGAGTCCAGGTCCCATTGGCAAGCAAAATACTAAATACTAAAAACATGCACTGTGGCTCACCGTGGTGCACACTGGACAGGCCCCTGTGGATCGGTAACGTTTTGGGTAACAATTCCCAAAACGTTCTCTGCTTCACATTGTCAGTGCTGTGTGGTACATTCTATATACATTATCAATCTTTATTATTGAGATAACCCAGCGAAACAAAATTCCAGAGACATCAATCATGTGGCTGAAGAGCAGAATTTGTCCCCTAATGGTAAAAAAATATTTTATACACATTTTTATAACAATAGTATGATATCATAATCATTAAAAAACTGAACGAGCAACTATCTACTTTCAATACTAGTATCTGTATTTTGTTGATAAGCATCTGATTTTGGATACTTTTGATGATTGTAATAGGCCCCAAAAAGATCCACGACAGCACTGAAACTGCTACTAGCAAAGCTGCTGCATGGAAATGGCTTGAATGTGAATACATTCATTTAATATATTAACAGTTTTTTTCAAATGAATTGAGCCCATGACACACTAGTCAGTGGTTGTTCTCAGTCAGGCTCCTCAGACACATGTGGAGCTCAGACGGGACAAACAGCACCAATGCAGCCATCCACATCCATATTGTTTTTGCCGCTTCAGTGTCTCACTGAGAAAAACATTCTGAGGTAGCTTTGTCTCACAATAAACCCCTTCAAATGTACGTGTCTGAAATATTTTTTGGAAACCAGATTTTAATAAGACTTCAATGTAGCTGTGTGCGCAAGCTTGTTGATCTCTTTATAATATTAAGTCTATTCGTTTCTATAAAGTTTGTCTGAATGCTCTTCCAGACAAAAGAAAAAAAAACATGTTTTCATGATTTTGCTTTTAAACCTACTGTAATTTGAAACCACAAAAAATGAACGACTTCATAAAATCCATGTAATGAGTTCACTATATTTTCTAATCAAGACAACATGTTGTGATGGGATTTCTTCACAAAGTTACTTAAAACAAGACAACGTGCATTTATGAAAATAGGTTTAGCATGTCACCTTTAAATATCCAGAATATGAATATTCCTTAATGCAGTGTAACCATATCTATCACAATTAACCAGCAATTGACATTGTGTTACATTATGCATTACAATTCAAAAGCTAGGGTAATATAGCAGTATTGTATTGTTTTGTATCAAAATGGCAATAAATCCATCATACACCACCAATTTAATTACACAGTTAAATAATGACTAACACATGCAATAAAGCCGCCCACAATAGAAGATGATTTGGACCTTGAATAGAAGTGGTCCCTCAAAGTTACGTAATCTCTGCCTCTGAGGACTGTCCCGGAGGATAATGGCTGGATTTCACTCTCAGCATCAGAGCATCATTTCTCGCTCACTATCAGGGAATCAGCTCGATTCAGCTTTTATTCCTCGTAACATCCAAAGCATTTCATGATCTCCCTCAGACGGTGAGAGATGAAGAGTTTGGAGCAGCAGATGTTGAAACCTCCCACACATGTCTGCTTCAAACAGGAGGGCAGCAGGTGAGTTCAACACAGACATGAACAACTATTCATGACCAGAGTCACAATCTGCAACAGGCAAATATAGCAACATTTTCAAATATAACCACTGACTCATTGAAGCCAACTCTACAGGCTGGAACACTCGCCGCAGTTTTAAAATATAACGTTAGGCAACAAGCCCTAGCCGAGCTACACCATACTTCAAAAAAAAAAAAAAAAGTAGTTATCAATTTCGATAATAATGAGATTGTGGTTTCAAACGTATACAAGCAAAGTCCATGTAGGTTCTCGGTGCACACACATGAACTATGGAGGAGCAGCCGAAGCATATGATGAATAGACGTCCTCTTAAACGCGATGACCTTTGACAAGATCACGGCTCAGCGCGGCAGCATCATCGCACTACTGTATGAATAAACCATTACTCATGTATATTACCCCCACAAACCTGTTAATCATGTGTGCCGATTTAAAACTCTTATTCTACAACCCATGTAGAAAGATGGCCCAAAACTGACAGGTGGCAGAAATTAAAGCTGCTGTGTTACTTGTAAAGCTAACAAAACAAAAACAAAAACAGTAAATACAAAATATGTGTAATTGAGTTCTATATAAAACAATGGAAATATGTTCCCCCATGATTTCATAACTTTCTCACGATAAAAAAGATAAAATGAGTCATTTTACATGATGTAGAACCCACTTTTCTAATCTAATGGTTCTCAAAGTGTGGGGCACTTTCCTGGGGGGCTGGAGTAGAGATATGATTTCAAGTTACAGTATTTTTTTTTGTAAAAATAGGTCAAATATGATCATGAATAAAAAAGGAAATGAAGACCGCTTTTCAATACCATTCTACAGGGGATCTGCACTTGAGTTTGGCAACCACTGCTGATGTTTATAATATGACACTAATCACTTTTTGTGCTGCTAAAAACGTCTTTGTTTTAAGCTGAATCTTACCTGTGTCTTGTCGAAACTGGTTCATGGACTGTAGATCTATGATGTAAGGGGAAAGCTGTCCGTCCACCTGCCCCAGAACCACGCTCCCTCTGGCGTCTCCCTTCAAAACATTCTCGATGTGGTGACACACGGCGGCACTGTAGGGTCTCCAGCGCCCATGCTCGTTCAGCCATTCCCAGACAACCACACGGGCCAGGTTCTGAGGGGGGTAACCCAGCCCGTTGAGCCCTGATCCGGGACGGGCCATCTCCGCCGTTGTGCGTGGTGTCTATGCTTCAGCTGCCGGCTTAGTCCTGGCCTACTGCACCACTGCAACTTCAATCAGCTCTCACCCTGAAACATGTTGTGTCAGTGAAAGCAACAAAAAGCTTTGATCAGCTGCTTTCAACTTCTAATTTCCACAGTTATCTCATACTGATGTCAGAAAGGCATTGTGGTGGTGTAAGTCACAGCACAGCGGAGATGGAAGGGGCTTTCTCCTCTCTCAGTCCCCTTCACGACCAGATTAGACTAGATCTGCAGGACCTAGACAGGACCTGGGAAGAAAAAGAAGTAATGAATGCCAATCCACAGGTGACACAAGCTCTCCCATTCCTAGTCTTTTAAGAGGTCTATACATGTTCACAGGTGCCACAAGCTAAATCCCTTTATATTCCCTTTATCGTTTTCATACCAGCAGTCTATGTGCAAGTGTAAATAGGCAACTCAAGATGTTATCACTGTAATCTAATGTAAATCTGGACAATTCAAAACATATGCAGAGATTAATATTTAGATTTTTCCAGCTACTATTTTCCAGTGCTCATGGTTACAAAAGATACTGGCGATCCAGACCTGTAGGCTGCAGCGGTGGTCGCACACATCTGCCAGGTAAACACAGTATTTTCAAGCTCAGGGACTGAAAATGAGAAAAGACGTATATCAAAAACACGGGAGAAAATGTAGAGACTATACATTTGCGCTTGGCACTTGTAGTCCCTTCATACGCACCTCTTGAGGCTGGAGAGAGCCGATGTTGGAGCCGAAAAGCCGTTTTCTCTTTCATTCCCGTGTATGTGTTGCTGCTGCTGCTGCCTGGTCCGCTGTTTAGGAAGATGCATGTCCCAGTTTCAGGGCTTAACTAAAAAGCATGCGTGGATAAGCAGTTGTAGCCGCGCACGTTTCTCTGTGGCGCTGACATCCAGCATTCAGGGAGTAAAATGCGCATTTCTTGTTGCTCTCATTTACGCACGGATGTCCAAGCGCACCTGTAAGGACAGTCTGGTGGGAGCTCGAGGCGTCAAGTCTGAGTGACGAATTCAACCATTTCCGGCGGGTTTTCAAAATAAAACTGAAGTGGAGCTTTTAACACACTGCTTCCTTTTGATGAAGAGCATGTCGTTGTGTGACATCCACGTTTTCAGGTCTATGCGTTTTCATTTGCGCTATGTTGTCCCAGAGCACTGACTATTTATCCAACTAAGACTACATAGAGCATATACCCACGACGTTTTCAGTTGAAAGTAGCATTAAAATAAAAGAAAAAGCCGTCATTTTTGAGGGAGAAAAAGCCATTACAAAATTCTCAACGAAGCTGCACCACCTGCCGGCGAATATGCGTATAGCTTTTCTGTACATGCATTTTAATGTTGGTTTTGTTTTATTTCTCATGAATATATTTCGAAGTAATGACAAAAAAGTAAATAGCTACATAAACAATCAAATAAAAACATGGAGTAATTTTCCTTAAAACAAAACACCACCATGCAATGTGGTCATTATAGTTTTTTATTTGCAGTGCTGCATCTCAAGCTTCAATAATGGTTGTTATTATTATGGGTTTATTTCAACATTCTTTAAAACCTGCTCAAATGTACAGTGGGCAAAACAGATGAGGTAGTCATAACTGAGACAACACCGCCCTCTAGTGGTTTAATCAACAGTGCAAGCATGTGTATCCCAATCACTTTATTTTCAAATGCAGATGTCACAGTCCTGTTGCTACTTGCTTTTTCAAAGAAAGTGTAAATATTTCTTTCTTTTATTTTCTTCAAAATAAAATACAGGGAAATCATAATATAACCATTTTATATTTTCATTATAAAATATGTACAAAATCATAAAAATATAATACTTTAAATGGCAAATTGTTTTATAATGTAAAAACTATAGTTTCATAAATTCCATGCACAAGTTTAAAAGAATCAGTCAGTACAAATATTAAGATGACTAGAAGTAAATCAGTCATTTCAATTACAGAAGACGATTTTCACAGGATAATGTATACGAAGAGAGCCATGATGGCAGCACTGATGAGTCCAGAGATGGGAACAGTGACAAACCATGCAATAAAAATATTCCTGAAAAGATGCCAGTCTACTGACTTCCTGGAGCGCAGCCACCCTACAGCCACCACGGATCCCACCTGTAAACACACGTCTATCATTAACCACCAGTTTATTTATTTAGCCTGGTGGTTACATATTTGACGACACATTTATACATTGACTTGAGCAATAAAAGCCACAGTCATGTGCAGAAAAACATGTAGTTGTATGGAATGGTTTCATTTAGCATAATTTTAGATACATACCTTGCAATGGGTAGTGCTTACAGGAAGACCAATATTGGATGCCAAAACAACCGTTAAAGCTGAAGCAAGTTCAATACTGAAACCACTAAAAGAAAACAATATTTGATCATAATAACTAGTTTTGCATTGAATGTAAGCATAAATCATTCCAAAATTAGCTGTTAAACCTTGAAGGTGTGATTGGGGTCAAGTCCTTTCCCAAAGTTTGAATCACTCGCCGGCCCCAAACCCACAGTCCAGTGCTGATTCCCACTGCCCCATACAGCAGCAGCCAAATGGGAGTGGGAGCATTGGACTCCACAGAACCACTCTCATAGACGAGCCACAGAGCCACCAGGGGGCCGATTGCATTACTGGACAAGAGAGCACAAGCAATTTCAGACTTTTAAATTGTGGGATATGTGTAAGTATCACTCAATCAGACTAAACTTTGTCTTATTAGGGTTGCTTACAAAGTATGTATTATAAAAGGATACAGTGTGTTGCTATGACTTATTGACCCTTGTGTAACCAGTTTCAGAATCTTTTTTTCAGGGGAGTCCAGGCCCCAAAGAGAGGAGCTATTGTACATGTTTATCATGATAGCGGAAACCGAAGTCCCTGGAGAAAACCTACACAGACACAGGGAGAGCATGTAAACCCCAATCGGGGTCAGGACCTTCTTGTTTATAGGCACAAGTGCTAAACGCTACGCCACCGTGCCGTCATTGACTTGATGGCGATGCAGGTGTCAACATGAAATATATACTATAAAACATAAACGAGTTAAAACCATCTTGACATATGCACTTAAACTAGTAGACTTTTAAGATGTATAAATCCAAGTGTGTAGGTTCTTGGCAATAATCCAACCCCAGCTTTATTTCTGTTTCACTAAATTGAAAGGCATTCATACTTGGGCCAATTGAGGTGGAATTTGTTGTGCTTTAGACTGAGTTTGCTTTGTTTGTGGAGATGTGAAGTTTTCCATGATTGACAATATATTTGCTTTAAAAGGAGGTCTGTTGCATGTGCACCTTCAAAACTATGTCCTCTAGCCTGGACCAAAAAGTGGCATATATTCGCTGTAAGTAATTCCTAATCATTCTAAATCTGCATCATTTTCCTTACCTGACATCATTCCCTCCGTGAGCAAAGGACCCAAAGCAAGCAGTTAGTACTTGCAGAAACTGGAAAAGCATTGAAACAGCGGGTTGGTCTTTCTCCAGCTCGTCGTCCTCCTCTGCAGGCTCTTTCCCCGCGTCTACCGCCACATCCGGAGCGACGCTGGTTGTAGTCACTGAGGAGGTGTAGCTGCTGTAACTGTCCACCCTGGATCTCCTCTGTAGGCTCCCGTCCACCACATCCTTGCTCCTGGGGTCCCCTTGGATGCCGTATAGGGCCATAGTGTAGGAGGTGTAACTGTTGTTCCTGCGGATGGGCCTCTCCTCGGTGTCGCTGTCTCCGATGCACTCTCCCACCTTGGCCTTGTGCAGCTTGTGGAGCAGGTCTTTGTACAGACCAGAGTCTTTGTGGATGGTGTGAGAGCGGCCGCTGTGAGGGTCCGTCAGCATCATGGGGCCAAAGGAGCCATTCAGACCTACAGATAGTATCATAGAATCATAATGTCATAGCAGTCATTTTCTTCAACCCATTGTTTGGTGTGTCTTTGGAAATGATCCAATGGCACCTAACTGGTCAAAAGAAAGAAAAAAGTTACATTTTCTTCTCTGTGCTTATTTGTTGGACTATTCAATACACTATGATGAGAAAGGCTTTGCATTGTTAATAAAGGCTAGAGTTTCCTTTTTCTTTCAACTTTCTTTCTTTTTGTTTCAGTTTGAGGTGGTGGCTTTGTTCAACGAAAAAGATCAAAAATGTTGGGGAACACTGTCTTAATAAACACCGCTCCTGTTCCTACATCTATTTATCTATGAAATTAAATTCACTGATCCAACCGCAATTATAATGGCAATAGCAACTATTATTACATTACAGTAATAATACCATATCAGTCATCAGGTATAGTGCTCTTTATGACAAAATTAGAGAAAAATTGATATAGCATTAGCAATATTGATTTACTAGATTTACATACAAATGATTATTATGAGTCAAGATCTACTAAGCTTTAGATTGAATTGAATTAATATCCAGTTATATTTCAATGGCCAATTTTAATCATTGTTCCTTTCTTTTCTCCAAACCACACTGCAGTAGTAAGGATGTTTTGTCTAATCTAAATACCCAATAACACCTTGTTTTAGATCATTTGAACAATGAACAAAATGACAATAATGCATGAGGCACTAACCATTGCTGATATCAGAGTCTTTATTGTCTGCGTCACTATGGTCCAGATCGGTCTCATCGGAGCCGCCTAGTTTGAAGGCCACTTTCTCGCTCTCGGCTGCTGGCGGTTTGGGATCTGAAGGACGCTCTGCTTCCACTGGTTTATTGATACTTTTCTCCATCAGCGGTGTCTCACAGGGAGCAGCAGCCATTTCTCCTAAAATTACATAATTATTCACTCATAATTTTTGCTACTATCAGACAAGAAAAAGACTGTTATTTAGACATTTTCTTAAAACAACAGAAAATATATTGAACTTCAATGAATACAATTGTGCTTACATAAGAATGAATGTTGTGTTGCACAAAATAATTGAAGATTATTATCCTTAACTCATCTAATCAACTCAAATTAATTTCCTGTCGTACATTTTGTTTGTTGCATTGTTTTACAATTCATTTTGAAAGAGTATATATTTTGACAGCTTCAACAAATAAAATATGGGACTTACGTCTAATTTTCTTCTTGAGCCGAGGACACACCACAAACCACACTATAAGAGCAGTAACAATGGCACAGCCCAGAGAAATACAGGGGGTCCCCCACCACGGCACTTTGTCAAACCCCAGCACTGTACACAAGAGGACAGGACAGAGCGCATGTATAAATATGTTTCATTAGAAATGTGATCAAATGAATGAGTCTGGATGCCTGTGGCCATGTGACTTAAATCATATCAAAGTGTGTTATAAGTTAAGCTGCCTCTTTAGTATCAGTGGCAGGACACACGCTAGATAGTGACCCACAGACATTCTGTTGCACTGTGATAAAAGTCACTTAAGGAACAGTATGTTACTTGAGTTTAAACTCTATCTATTTACTTTTGTCTTTACGTAGCACTGGAAGTCTTACCTCAAGCCAAATGAATAAAAAGCATAAACAAACATGGTTACTGTTGATTTAACAAACCTGTTGCTATGACAGTTTTATAGACTTAACACAAACCAGAAGTGGCTGTACAGTACATTAGACACCTTAAATGAACTGTTGACAACCGTGTGTGTAAACAGTATGTAGTGGAGTGATACTCACGTGGTGCGCCTGTAAACATGATGGAGAAGAGGTTGACACCCATAGTGATAGCATAGAAGATAGGCAGAGCTCGGAGGCCATTGGGAACAGGATCCTCCTGACAACATGAGAGTGTCTCGGTCAGAAACACCATGTCCGAGTATTGCATCTTATCCAGATAAAACAAAAGAATCCAAAGGCCTTACTTTATTCAGAATAAATTTACGAACAAAATAGAAGAGTATGGCTGACATAATCCCTGAAAGCATAGGTGACAGGAACCAAGAGGCCACTGGGAAGATAAAAAACATAAACAGACTTTTTTAAACAACTATATTTCTGTTACTGTTTGTGTTTTTAGAGTATTTACCAATGCGGAGCAACTCCATCCATCTAACCCCTTGGTGACCTCTAGCCACCATGGAGAATCCGATTGTGGCTCCAACAATGCAGTGTGTTCCAGAGATGGGAAGCTTCAGGAAAGATGCGGTCAGCTGCCACACGGCTGATCCTGTGCTCACAAACATGTCCAGACCTCTGCATTATATGGTTTTATTTCACAAATCTTTTTGAGCAGTACATTGACACTTACCAAACATTGCACTGATAGATCCTGCCATCAGCACATGTTCAGAGCCGTTGTACATTTGGACATCTATAATGCCCTTTCGAATGGTCTCGCTGACCTTGGCCCCCAGCAGCACTGAGCCCACAGTCTCAAATATAGTGGCCAGAATGCAGGCTTGTCTCAGGGTGACCACACCGGAGCCCACGGCTGTTCCAAAGGAGTTGGCCACATCATTGGCTCCAACCGAAAACGCCAGCACAAACGCAATGATAAAGCCCAGTATCAACAGCCACATGTAGCCTGACATGTCAGACTGAGTGGCCAGTGCTATGGTTGTGGCTGTGGCAAATGCTGCTAAAGTAGTTGAATCCATCCTAATAGTTTATTGTAAAATCTAGTCAAATTCAATACTATGAGGTAATGTATGTGCTTATAAATAAATAGCAATAGAATCTTTGAAAAAATCACACAACACTAATGTATGTACAAGTCCAATTTCTCACTGAATATGTAATGCTACGTGGATAAACATGTTTTGTGTGTTAACTTCGTCATAACAGTACAAAGTCTAAATACTGGAATGATATCCATGATTGCACTGGGCTTTAAGTGATGAATGCTGTAAAAGAGGGAAAAAACAGAGAGTACTCAGCATCATCAAACATGATTTTGATGTTGCTATTTTATTACAAAAATAAGGATATATTCCCTAAACAAACACTGCCTTCACCATGTGATTTAGTACAGGGAAGTGCATGTTGAGTTTTAGAGGTTGATTCTTTAGCTTTGTCAAAGTCAGTCATTCTACAATGGATCATTCCTTCTTTCATTTTTGTACTTTTTCTCTCACGTATGACTTGGAATGTAATCCTTGTTAGGCCATATTCCGATGAAAAGGTGTGAATACCATAGATAGACTGTACACAATGTGTTACATAACACAAATTCTAATAAGTGCCTAATACTTCAAAATCAGAAATAAATCCACTTAAACTTCAAAGGGTCTCCAGAGCTGAAAATAATAACATACTTGTTCTCTAACTGACTCTGGATGAAAATATACGGTATGTTAATCTTCTTACACTCTTGCATAATTGAACATTAGACGGTTTGTCATGACAACAGGTGAAAAGTGTGCAAAAGTGACAGTGCTATAAGAGAAAGTCGGCGGTAGTGAGTACTCACGCAGTCCCAGAGAGGTGTCACTTTGAGCGGGTCACTGTTTCAGCTGCAGCCGCGGACAGAGGAGCGACGGTCACGCTGCAGCGCTGTGAGGACACGGTTTATATATTAGGCCGCTTTGGTACACGCCTTTCCAGTCTGGTCATGAGACCACTGCTGCTACAGCTAATGTTTAGCCTGTTTGTTGACACATGTATAATTATGGTAGTCTATGTTATTATGGAGACGGAAAACCCCCCAAATTCACTAAATTGGCCTCACAGTAAAACAATGATTGGCTGTTATTTTTAAAGAATGTAGAAAGGGTAGAGACACTATAAATAACAAGCATGTACTAACCAACATTAACCATGGAAACTTCAGCTTGTATCCTAGGCTGATGAAAAGGACATGTGCAGGTGACTGCAGCATGAGCATTACTTTGGCACCATCTAGTGGCCGTATCTATAAATGCGTTTCATATCACAAGATCAAGATGAATGTAAGAGCACCTGACAAATACATGATTTGAAAAATATTTTAGGCCTATACGTTATATGTTATATGTTTATAAATATATGGATGAATGAATGCATTAGATGGCACTGTACCTCATGATTCAGTAACTGCTTGGATGTTACTTATCAACCCAGCCGCAGCCGTTTTAGGCCACTGAGAAACTAGTGAAAGAGTAAAAGTCAGCACAATGATCTTCTTCCGAAATGCTACAGTGCTTCCAAATGTGCTGATAAGGAATCAGCACATCCTCGCCATTACTTATTAATGAGTTATGTGTCCTTCATACATGCTGCTCTGTATTTGGTGGCCTGTTATATCTGCAAACGTTGTGGAACATGTTGACCACAACAGCGGGGGCAGAGAGATCCTCTTATAAATCAAAGAATTAGAGACTTGGATTCTATAAGCATAAACTATATTATATTTTACTGCCAAAACATAGGGATCTGAAAAATACATTTACCATGAAAACCATGATACCATTTAGGGGTGGATAGCACTCTCGCTTCTCAGCAAGAAGGTCCTGGGTTCGAATCCCGGTCGGAACAGGGCCTTTTGAGTGGAGTTTGCATGTTCTCCTCGCATCTGCGTAGGTTCCCTCTGGGTACCCCGGTTTCCCCTCCCACTAAAAACATGCACAATAGGTCTGGCATGTGCCTCCTGTACTGGCGACCTCACTCCCATCTCTATGTGGAGTGAGAGGACAAATGCCCAAAAATAACAATTGTAAACCGCTTTGTGACTCTGGTCTGTGAAAGTTGGTATATAAATAAAGATTACTTTCTTACTTACTTATAATAGAGAAATAATGAATAATATTTGAATTATCCAGTGTAATATACTTGCTCTCACCAATGAGAACTACTCCAAACTAAGTCAACAATAGAACTTGCTGCTTATACTAAACTGTAACAGTGCAGATAAAATCTGTATCATTGTTTTCTTCACATTATTCCAATCTCTAACACAACATCAATAGACATTACACATTGGTTTGGCAAAGCTATTTCAATTTACTCCGCTTTGAACTGATTTCTATTGTGTAACTTAAGAACAGCTATTGCCACTTTTTTCAACACATTCATTAAGTGCAATCACGTTCTCAGGAGATTAAAGAGGTACAGTGATCATTTACAAAGCGCTTCTTTGTTTGTTTATGGAGATTTATCTTTTGACGGATCAGAAAAATTTCCCAGAAGGCTTGGCCAACATGTGGCTTCAGAAGAATACTTAATTATAACTGCCACTGTGCAGCAAGTTAAATGTTGTTTTCTCTTTGAGCTTGTTGTCATTATTATCTGCTATAATTGTGTTACAAAGGGCATTTGTTCGGTTTGGAGGTGGGAATACACCGCCACGGTATTCCCAGTATATCCCAACTGTCTCTAGTCTAGGCTTTTAAATTCCACACATTTACAGATATTTTGATTTTGTTTTTATTTTTATGAAGATTAATTCCTTTTGTTCAATAATCACCTTCAATTATGCCTGCCTTTTTATATTTTAAAGTGACAGGGACAGGCCCTATAGATTCAATCTGCACACCCTAAAATCAACAACACAGAACAACTGTTATACAAAGATTAAGGTGCAATTTAAAAGTGGAACAAATTTTGAGATATTTTGTTATCTGTTTTAGCTTGCATTTAAAAATATTTCCTTGTAATTATGAAGTAACGTAGATTGATAGTTGGTCTAAAGCTGCTGTGATTTGAACTTAGTGATAACATCATAGGCCCTCATACAGATATATAGATCCTAGGACTTTCTTGGTGAGCTATTACATACTGTTTTATGTCACACTACATTGCCAAAGCAAACTATTACATTAGCCTCTACTGACTTTGTATGTGTCTGCTCTTTGATTTCCAGGTTGGTGATAGAAGATAATTCACGCTTTCGTCTTCCTAATAACTTTGGACTCAGGTAACCTTCTCACAACTTAGGAACACTTTGTCTTGTGTGTCCATCGGTATGCTGAGTATGAGCACCCACATATCGCCTCTGGTCCTGTGGTTTTACCTGCTGCTGTTCACAGTGCAACCTGACACTGCTTTTCACAATGGGGGCTCTTTTCCAGGCTCACCCAAGGGCCTCTAGATGGCATCGGTGCCCTGTTCAGGTTGCACTGGGTGAGTGGCTGGTGAGTGCACTATATGCGGACATACCAGTTTTTCAGAAGGAAAATTAGATTCAGCAGTTTGATTTCTGTATGCTCAGGCTTGTTGAAACATTTGTTTGATGTCAACACAAAGAGATCTTCTTGTTTCTCTTAGTAACAAAATGTACCCTTTATTATTGACTTCTTCTATAAGTATATCTAGAGCTATAGCCCTGCCTATAAATCAAAGTTATTCTGCAGAAGGTCTGATACACAATACATTTTAATATAATCTTGTTAATCTTGTTTTGGTTGGTATTGATATATACATCAGGAAAGAAACTCTCCACAGTGTTAATATAATATTTTTGCTATAATTCTATACTATGGTTAATTTTCTTTGTTCATATTTAAAGTTAGACATGATAGAACATGCAAATAAGTAACCGAAAAGCTTGACTAGTTCTCATGCTTTGGCTCATATTAGCCCAACCCTTGCTTCCCTCTTCCCTCCCTCCAGTCCCTTGCCAAACAGGATCTGTAGGATCTTATACTCATTTTCTCAGGAGACAGGAATGTCAGAACACAGGCCCCGTGCCTGCTCAAACCTGCAGCCCACATTCCCGCAAAAACACCAGGAAAAAAAGATCCCAGAAGTATTGCTCATGCACAATTGCACTTTTTTTCAAGTCCCAGACACCAGTGACTCAATGGTCAAGTCATGTTTTCATCTTTTACAAGTGTAATAAAACAGTAGAAGACCAACAAATGATTATGTATGTACAGTAAGTATGTATTGTAAATTGTGAATTATCCAGGAAAGCTGATGGCTGGTTTGGGCACAAAAAAAAGGTGGCTAATTATTACTTGATTTATTATGTATTTATTGCCTACTATATTTTGTTATCAGAAGCCTTTTTACATTGAAAATCTTTTGGAAGAGGCCCTACATAAATAACAAACACAATGAATCTGTGTTACGCCCACAGTTCATAAGAATAAAAACACACAAAATAAAAACCCTGAAATGTTAAGTCGACAGTTTCCACAGCACAAACATTTTAAACGGCAAGAGTGTAACATTACAAATCCCTGTGCATTCCCTGAGAAAGTCCCAGTAGTTTGTATGTGTTTCAAAAGGATATATCAAAAGCAGTTTTGATCCTGACATGTTCACCATATCTCTCAAAGAATGTAGCTCTTTCCATAAAAGCAATGTCCAAGGCTGCCATTTTTCATGTGAGAAATGCCATTAGCTGACAATTGAAATGTTAAGAGTCTGAAAGTCTTTAGTCCTGGTCTGTTTAGTGAGTGGACCAGTGGCTGGAGCTGGTGGGGTCTTTGTGGTTCTGGTACGGGCTGCTATACGTGGGAGAGTGGGTGACGCTCGGGCTGCTTGGAGGTGTGGAGGAACAGGATGAAGTTTTACATTTGATCTGCTGCCACTTGTCTCCCAGGGCTTTGGCGAAGTGGTCGTCCACAGAGATGCTGATGGAGAGCTGCTGCTGGGACTGGACCACTCTCTGGTACCTCTCTCCCAGGCTCCTCTGGAAGTGCTCGTCTACCACGCGGTCACAGTGGCTTTGGGAAACTGCATGAGAAAAGCGAGTTCCACACCTTACTATCACTGGTGAGTCAGTAGAGTGAGTGCATGTCTGTTAACTTTTCCCGGAAAGGGATGGACTGTCTAGTAAATACACACTGACCTGACGAAATGGGCTTGTGCATGTCCGGCCTGCCGCTTGGGCTTTTCACAGACGACACACAGGTGATCACAGAGGGCCGCATCTGCATCACAAAGTAAAAGTTGTTGAAATAAAACAAATATAAGACAATACATCCACAACAACATTTGTAGGAAAATGATTGAAACTTTTAATCTAGGTCAAGTTACAATACATTAAAATCAGTTTGATAAAGTGATTGAACTGGTTAGGTAGCCCCCTACACAGACACAGGTCAAAGGCAGAGCTGTCTGTTTGGTCTTGTTGATGGCATTCCTCTCTCCATTGCTCACATTTTCTACCTGAATCTGGCTGGATTGCATTGCTAGGACAAGCTTTGGCCTGTGCTAGTTCCCTTCAGACTGATAAGAGACCACCTAAATCCCCTGGAGCTACACTTGTATGTTCCACAGAAGAAGACATGACGTACAAGCACACATGACAGTTATACTAGGGAGATTGTTCAAAGTACCTGGATTTGAGTGGAACTTTTAGGCTTCTCCGGTGGGAGTTCTGGATCCTTTCTTGGTTTTTTGATCAGTGCAAGTGGTTCGTCCATGATTGGTGCGTAATAGAAATGAGGAGGAGGGTGGCAGGTAGGGCTAAAAGCTGGACTCCATGAGGATGTTGGACTTTGAGGGCTGTTAGAGGCAGACGCTACTTGTGTCTCTCTTTCTGATGCTTTTGAAAGACTTCTGCTCAGGGCTCGCTCCCGTCTAAAAACCATGAGAAGAAATACACAGATAAACATTTTTCTTCGACTAAAATATGATGCAAATAAAGTGGACCAACCTTTCCTCCAGGGTCAGCCCTCGCTCAAAGCTGCGTTTGCGTTTCAGAGGAATCCCCGTTGAAGCTCTTTGTGGTTCAGTTTGGATGTGTCTAAATCGGTCTTCGGTTCTGTGATGTGGCTGACCTAGAATACAAATAAAATAATTAATATTGTGTCTGTATCTCGGTTACAAGCCAGAGTGTAACAGTATTAATACGTGTTGTTTCAAATGATCATTTGATATGCCCATAATAATGATTGGCACATACTGACAGCTAACTGCTTGTTTTGATCTATGAAAACCATTGTGTCAAACTAGTACTCGTGGGAATCACATTTGTCACCGTTAATTATAAACTCCGTTAAGCTGTAGAACTCGATTTACCAGATCAGTGAGGGTTACAAAACGGCACAGCTGATTCAATGTTAACGGTAAGAGTTGTTTTTCTGTGATGTTCACACAGGATGTCACTGAAGCAATTGATGATTAGCATTTTATCATCATTATCATTGCTCAAGGAAAAATGGCAAAGAGAGATATGGTTTTGTCAATTGCTGTATTTAATAGACATTGTTTTGTGAATGGAAAAGCATTATAAAGATAGAAGCAAAAGTCAGAAATAATTACATACATGCATCGATCTACTGCAATTCAGGTTTTAACTTCTAACTTTTATGTATGTTTATATAAATACCAATGTTTTTTAAAGCCCCCCCCCCCCCTTGAGCAATGCAACCATAAATGCATACATTAAATCAAACTACAATCACTTTTTTGAGTCAATAACAATTAGGAAGTTGTTTTGCAATAATGGATGATTTACATTGACTTGACCTTTTTAGGTGAGTGTCAGAACAAAAGCTACTGTATTAAAATAGCTTCATAAATGTGTCACTAAGAGTCTATTACTAACACAAATGAGTGAATATGCATTTCCATTGTTCATTCAAAGTAGCCATTATTCTCAAATATACACTGCGTTAACATCTTCAGCTCCTCAGCCGACTGTGTGAATGGTTTGAGAGAGAGTGCTATTGTGGCAGAGGGAGGGGGCAGCTGTAACCACACCTATGCTGATTTTCTACTGCCCCAGGCATAGTTATTTCTTCCTTATAAGCAGCAGGTAACGTACTGCGTGACCTTCTGCTTTGTTATTTATCAGATTTCTGACACAAATAAATAAAGACTTAGTTTGATACATGTTCTCAGTTATTATCACAGAATAAAAACATTATAAATATGAAAAGAAATACATGCAGATCCGATATACATTATTGTATTGCATTTGAAAAGCACTGTTAACTTAAGACTTACAGTATGTGTCAAGTTGGTGATAATTATCATTCAGATCATTATACAAAGTACATTTGAATTATTACAAAACATAGACACAACATGTAACCGACAACCTATCTATACTATTGCGTTGGTACTTTAATAATCACAGAATGGAATTTAAACAGATCATATCTTACCCTCTAAGATGTAGACCTTGAATCCGCTGCTCATCCGAGTGATATACTGAAAGTTTGCCACGGCCATTGCTGCTGCTGTTGCTCACCTCACAGTGCACAGTGCTCTAATGTAATGGTGCCTCACTCACACAAATGTACCAGGTGAGTGCAGGTAGGAGCTTCCTGTGACACACTTCTGCTTTCTGATTGGCTCATCTCTGGCCAATCACAACTAACCTGAAGCTCAGTGTTTTTATTCTGGCACAGGCGGAATGTGCTCCAAGGACATGTTCTAAGATATATACATACACATTATGTTGCTATGTCTGTAATACCAAAACATATGTTGAGGTGTCATACAATATGTACAGGAAAGATATTATAGTACAGCAGTCTAATTCTAATTACTAATAAAAAATACCCCTCCTCTCACATCAGCAGCTGCCCCCCGCCACCCATCTGCAAACTCGCCAAACTGCATTTTTGCGAGTGCTTAGCCCACCAGAGCTCCAGTCATTCCACCGGCCTGCCCATACACGCAGCCGCTGCAGTGTAAGCTTGCCTGAGTAATCCACAAGCTTTTGTTGATGACCAGACAAAGACACCTAAGACTTGTTGATGCTGCCACTGTGAGAAGGATCTAGTTCAGACATTTTTAGATATTTGAAAACACAAACAATGCACACGGTTACTTCAATGTGGTAAAACAGCAAATTAAATAATGTTACTGTTTTCAGAACTTTTTATCTGCCCTACATAGACGTCAATTTCAATAATCCTTATCTTAAAGCAGGGGTGTCCAAACTTTTATGTAATAGGGCCACTTTAGTTTACCAGACTTGTCCAGGGGCCGAGAACTTGAAAAATGGTTCTGAACTTTAAATTCAGCTTTAATAAGTTGACGTTGGCTACGATAGCAACTATATTTTGTGCTACAATCAAAAACAAGATATAACACAAAAATCTTGTTGTAAAGCTTGTTTACAGCAAGATACGTGGTAGAGCTGAAGTTGGCTGTATGACACTGTGACCTGGTGTCTATGATATCGTGTGTTAGCGGGGCAGAGGGTCAGATAACATGACACAGAGGGCAGCATTTGGCCCGCGGGCCTGAGTTTGGACATGCCTGTCTTAAAGCATCAGATTAATATTAAGTATGGCACTGACTTCACAGGATCTTGAACAACAATGAGTCAATTTATTTTATTTTATTGGTTGGGACAGTGCATGTAAATGAACACACTTCTCCTGATTGTAGCCCAATACACACTCAATAACTGATAACTCTTGTACGTGTTTTTAGTGGTCAGGGAAACAAGAGGAAACTGGAGAAAACCTACACAGACAGGGAGAGAACATGCAAACTCCACATAGAAAGGCCCCATCAGGAGGTGGACTCAATAGGACCTTCTTGCTATGAAGCGCAAGCGCTAACTTCTGCGCCACTGTGTCATTATATTCACATAACACATGTTTGAAGTTCATTTGATGATAAACTAATGCAACTCAAGTGTGCCCCCTGAAGGCTCATGCTGCACAACATTCACAAATATTACAAACATATGTCCAATTAGATCGTCTTGCACAAAATCCAAACTGCATGTTATGTATGTAATGTAGTGCAGTTGCATTCTGTACATTGTTAAGAGTGCACGTGTTGACTGGACTGTCAGGTTTCTTTATGAAAAAAAAAACAATGTCACCACATGAAGAACATCTCAAAGAATCATTCTAGGAATTCGGAAACAAAACCCTCTTTTATCTTTTTTTTCTGTGACTTTCTTTTCTGTTTGATTGAATCCATAATTTCTTAGTCTTAGTTGTTTTTTGCATCATAAATCTTACTAAATTACATAACTGACACAATATGTAGTTAATAATTAAATCCATTTTATTTTAATATGTTTTAAATGGTACAGAAACTTGTACTGTCCTGCAACAACACCCTTTGTTCCCGTGTCAGGTGTGATTTTAAAACAGTGACATGTAGAATTACACCATGACTCCTGCTTCATGATTTACAAACAGAAGCTGCTCTGACAAAGGGTCAAAGATACAAGTGTCGACTATGACAACAATGCTTCAGCTTTTCTCACGTTTTGTTACTCATCTTTCTTTCTCCTGATGTTACCTCCACACGTGTCTGTACTTCAGTCCATACAGGTTCTTGATGTTTGAGAGCCTTTTTTTCCTCACCCTGTGCTGAGACAAAATACAAAAATCAATTGGTTCAATAATTTATCACATGCTTAGCATGAGTTGTCCACTGACATCGTCTCCCACCACTGAACATACTACAAAATGTATTTATAAAAACAATATATTTCTTAACACACTTAACATATATGTAACTGTTCTAAAATAAATAATGTTTTAATTATGGATTGTATTTCACAAATAAAAATAGTACATGTTCAAAGCTAGTATCATTAGTTCCTCCACATGTAGCCTGGATGTATTACCCACTAAATTTTTTAAGTCTGTTTTGAGCAGTCTTTTACCTTTGCTCACACAAATAGTGAACATGTCTCTCTCATCTGGAACATTTCCAATGGCCCTGAAAACGGCAGTCATCAGACCCCTCCTAAAAAGAGGAGTCTAGATGCCACAGTTCTTAAGAATTACCGGCCCATTTCAAATCTGCCGTTTATCGGAAAAATTCTGGAAAAACCGTCTCTGTCTGCTGAATCCCTGACAAGTTGCTTACCAACAACTTACAGAATTCTTAGTAACTAATAGTTCCTTTGATGCGCTCCAGTCCGGCTTTAGAGCCAATCACAGCACTGAGACTGCACTAGTGAAGGTTACAAATGACATCCGACTTAACACCGACACAGGAAAAGTCACAGTTTTAGTAATGCTGGATCTGAGTGCTGCGTTCGACACAGTCGACCACGAGATCTTCATGCAGAGACTAGAGCACTGGGTGGGTGTCACTGGGACTGCCCTAAGTTGGTTTAGGTCTTACCTAGAAGACAGGAAATACTTGGTTCAGATAGGAAACTGTGTCTCAGATCATATGGCTCTGACCTGCGGAGTGCCACAGGGGTCAATTCTGGGGCCTCTTCTGTTCAATATTTACATGCTGCCATTAGGTCAGTTAATACGCTCCAACAATGTATCCTACCACAATTACGCTGATGACACTCAAATTTATGTCTCACTTACTGCAGGAGAACATGGACCAGTGGACTCACTCCTTCACTGTACTCAACAGATTAGTGATTGGATGCAAGTAAGTAAGTAAGTAAGTAATCTTTATTTATATACCGCCTTTTCACTCAAAGCGGTTTACAATTGTTATTTTTGGGCATTTGTCTCTCACTCCACACAGAGATGGGAGCGGGGCCAGTACAGGAGGCGCATGCCAGAACTATTGTACATATTTTTAGTGGTAGGGGAAACCGGAGTACCCGGAGGAAACCTACACAGACACGGGGAGAACATGCAAACTCCACTCAGAAAGGCCCTGGTTGGACCGGGATTCGAACCCAGGACCTTCTTGCTGAGAAGCGAGAGTGCTACCCACTCAGCCACCGTGCCGCCCGGTGCAAAATAACTTCCTTCAGCTAAACGCAGACAAAACAGAATTGATTGTCTTTGGTCCTCAGAAACAAAGAGAGAGCGTTATTCGTCACCTCCAGTCTCTCTCCCTGGAACCTGTAGGCAAGGTCAGAAACCTAGGAGTTATAATGGACTCAGACTTAAATTTTAACAGTCATATCAAATCAGTAACATCAGCAGCATTTTACCATCTGAAAAACATTGCCAAAATTAGAAACATAGTGTCTAAATCAGATCTGGAGATTCTCATCCATGCATTTGTCTCCAGTAGGTTAGACTACTGCAATGGCCTGCTCACAGGTCTCTCCAAACAGGCTGTAAAACAACTGCAGTATGTCCAAAATGCTGCAGCTCGAGTCCTGACCAGGACCAGGAAATATGACCACATTAGTCCAGTTCTCAGGTCTCTGCACTGGCTTCCTGTGGCTCAGAGAATAGACTTCAAAGCAGCACTGCTTGTGTACAAGTCTCTCCATGGCCTCGCACCAGGGTACTTAAGCGACTTGTTAGTCCCATATGAACCGGCCCGGACTCTGAGGAGCACAGGAGGTAGCCTCTTACTGGTTCCAAGAGTCAGAACTAAACATGGGGAGGCAGCGTTTGAGATTTATGGAGCTAAAATCTGGAACAATCTTCCTGAAGATGTGAGGCTAGCATCTACTCTGGCAATTTTCAAATCAGGGCTAAAAACTGTTCTTTTTAGCTGTGCATATGGCTGAAGGATTTTATTGATACATACTCTTTTTTTTAATGCATTGTGGTTATTTATTATTTTAATCCCGTGTGTGCTTTTAATGTTTTAAGGTTTTTTTCATTACTTGTGATTTTATTCTGTTTTTAATGTATTTATTGTTTGTATATGTAGTTTTTGATGTTTCTGATTTGTCTGATATTATGTGGGTTGTGAGGCGCTTTGAGTGGCCTTGTGTTGGAAAGGCGCCATACAAATAAAGTTGATTGAAGTTGATTGATTGCAAACTGCAGGTTACATTCTTGATTACAGCATGATATTTATTTATTACAGACCTTTATTAATTCCCTACGGGGATATATTAAGTGAACATTTACATTACTCATTGAAAGCGATTCATGCTGTGTAATTAAATTTATTTTTCATAACATAGATTGGTTGATTTGCCAACAGCAGATTGGAAAATCAAATAAATAATGAACCTCATTTATTATCAATGATGTGTTTTTTCTTCCACATTAAATCAGCTCAATAGTTATGTGGACATGTAATATTATATTCTGTTCGTATTGGGATTAAAGTTTCAAGAGCTAAAATATCAAATGAAAAGGTTCCATGTCACGGCGGATTCTGAACAGGGATGTAGGCTGTGGTGTGGATGTGGAGTCCTCGCGTTCTACGTCATGGTGCTACGTCCCTTAGGACTTCGCTAGTGGGATATCACGTGACCCCCAGGTCACAGACGCCAGAGAGATCAAAATAATTTGCTCCAATCACCAGCCACCTTCCTCTATAAATGCCCCTGCACAAGGCCGCACCCCCTCTTTCACTCTGGCGCCGTTTGAGATCTACATTCGTTACCTGAGAAAGAAAGATGTCTTCTGATGCACGTCCGAGTTCCCCTTCGCCATCCGGCGTCGGACGTCGTCGTTGCTCGACCTGTCGGGGCAAGCTCCAACGCAAGGACCAGCACTCCAGCTGCTTCATGTGCCTGGGTGCGGGCCATGCGGCGTTGAGCGCCACCTGCGCCTCGTGTGTCGCTCTCCCCAGGGAGGAGAGTGAACGCAGGCGCGCGTTCTTCGCCGCTACAGCGCCCCGTCCGGACTCCTCTAAGGACGAGGAGTCTGAGATTGACTGGGCCCCCCTCGACATTCCACCTGTGCCCGCGGAGTGGGGTGACTGCGAGGACGGAGAGGTGTCGGAGGTCGGCTCTCTCCTCACGCTGGACGAGGTGGTGTCCAACCCGGAGCCGGACCGCTTCCCGCTGGACCACATGCCTGGGCTCTACGCCACGGCGGCGGCCATCATGGATGCCCCCCTGCCACCGCAACCGAACCAGAGGGTGGAGGACTTCACCTCTGGGTACGCAGCCCCTCGAGGGAGGAGGAGAGCCCAGCCCACGTTGTGCCCGCGTATGGACCCGATCGTCCATTACGCGACACGTGAGTGGCCAAAACCCCTAGCGGCCAAGAGGCCCGCTTTGGGGTATGGCATGTACTGCAACGTGCAGGACTGGTCCTGGACAGGCGGGGTCCCGGACATCGAGGACTCGGTTCGGGCGGCCCTGCACCCCTCCTCATCCGTGTGGCCCAGCACCAGACCTCTCCTTCCCTCCGAGCGGGATAGGATGTCTCTGGCTATGCATGACAGATGTTACGCCAATGCGGCTCAGGTCGTCGCGGTGGCGAACAACATGGCTTTCATCACCGGGGCCCTGGATAGGTCTCTCTCCTCTGACCAGGCACTCAGTGGAGACACCTTAGCCCAGGCGAGGACCACTTCAGCAGCGATCTTGCGCATGTGCCAAGCGCTAGCTGTCGATGGCGGCCGCTCTATGGCAGCAGCCCAGGTCGGGGCCAGACACCTCTGGCTGGGGGCGGTGAACCTCAGAGAGGCGGAGAAGAGGCAGCTGCTGGACCTGCCCATCTCCCAGACGTCGCTCTTCGGTCCGGAGATGCAGACGCTGATGACGAGGCTGGACAGCGCGGCTAAGGACTCGGCTAGCCTAGCAAAACACCTAGCTACGAGACGCGAGGCCCGCCCACCAGCGCGGAGCCGAGACAGAGGCAGGGAGCGCTCGCCTGGCAAGCGCCCCGGACCATATCCACGCTCCGTGGTCCATCGTTCCCCAGCGGCGAGACCCCCGGGCCCAGACAGGCACACGGGAGGTTCGCGGGACCAACACACCCATCGACGGCCTCCCTACGGTAGAGGAGGTCGGGGTGGTAAAAACTCTTTCAATAAAGGCCGTCCGGCATTTCACCAGTACTCGCTGTCTGAGTCTCATTTGGGGGTATGTAACATGTCAAATGATTTGAATTCTGTTTGTGTTACTTCTCGAGCATATAACGTGGCTCCGCCAGGCCTGCAGCCCCCAGAGAAGGGCGTGCAGCGCGCTGTGCAGACCACGAGCTCCGATTCACGGGTTCATGTTTTGCCCTCCCGGAGAGAGGGCAGGCGGAGGGATCTGATAAGTGCTAATGTGTGTGCTCCGGGCGCTAGCGTGTTAGCATCTCTGAGCTACAAGGCTAACACGGGGTTTCCCAATCCAGGGGCTCTCCCCCCCCTCCATGAGGCAAGAGCCAAGGGGGGGCGCAGCAGCCGTGTCACGCGTGATGAGCAGAGCTACATTGCTAACACGGGGTTTCCTAATCCAGGGGCTCTTCCCCCCCTCCATGAGGCAAGAGCCAAGGGGGGGCGCAGCAGCCGTGTCACGCGTGATGAGCAGAGCTACAATGCTAACACGGGGTTTCCCGATGCAGGGGCTCGCCCCCCCCTTCATGAGGCTAGAGCCAGGGGGGCGCAGCAGCAGCCGGGTCACGTGTGGTGAGCAGTCCCGTACTTATGACGTCGGACCTGCAGAACACGTGACCGCCCTCGGCGCTCACGGTGTGACGCAGGGGCCCCCCCGGCCCTTTCAGCCACCCCCCCTCCCTGCTAGGAACACCAGGAGGGGGCGGGGCCATGACGTCTCGTGTTCCAGCTCCCGTTCCGCCCCTCACAGATTTCTACGACATCTGGAAGGAGCAGGGCTTACTGTCAGATGTTTGGCTGGAGAAAACTCTGCGCAGAGGTTACGCTCTGCAATTTTTCCGAAAGCCACCACCATTCCGAGGCGTACGGGCAGTACGCTCTCAGGTACGGGGATCGACAGAGGCACTGGAAGCAGAGGTCTCCTCCCTGCTGAGTCGAGGCGCAGCAGTGGAGGTAGACCCGCAGGACGCCACCAGGGGGCTGTACTCCCCTTACTTTCTGGTGCCAAAGAAATCAGGCGGGGTGCGTCCCATTCTGGATCTGCGCGTGTTAAACGAGTGCATTTCCAAACGGCAGTTTCGGATGCTGTCCACAAGGCAGCTCCTCGAGTGTGTCAGGGAAGGAGACTGGATGACATCCATAGACCTGACAGACGCATACTTCCACGTACCCATAGTGCCAGAACACAGGAGATTTCTGCGCTTCGCAGTGGGAGAGAGGAATTACGAGTACTGCCGTCTCCCTTTCGGGTACGCTCTCGCGCCTCGCACTTTTTCCAAATGTGTGGAAGCGGCTCTGGAGCCGATCAGACGTGCCGGGGTAAGAATATTGACCTATATAGACGATTGGTTAATACTGGCCCCATCCAGGGAAGTGGCCGTGAGCCACACGCAATGGGTCTTGTCCCACATACAGCGTCTGGGCTTTGTGGTGAACAGGGAGAAGAGCAAGCTGCAGCCAGCCCAACGCATGATTTACCTCGGTCTGCAGCTAGACTCTGTGATATTCCGTGCTGCATTGTCCGTGGACAGACGGACGAATATTACCCGTCTGGCCCGGGAGGTTCTGGCGGGCCCCAGAGTTCCCGCTCGGCGCCTCAGGTCCCTGCTGGGGATGATGGCAGCGGCTCATGCTGTGGTGCGGCTAGGCCTGCTCCACATGAGAAATTTTCAGAGGTGGTTCTCGCGCCTCAGGCTTCACCCCTCCCGGGACGGGGGGAGGCTGATCTGGGTTCCCCAAGGGGCAGCATCGGACATCAGGTTCTGGCTCACTCCGGGTCTACTGCGGGACGGAGTGACTCTGGCCTGCGCTGTGTCTCACGCCGAGGTGTTCACGGACGCGTCGCTCGAAGGATGGGGCGGGGTCCTCGGCCAGAGCTCTGTAGGAGGCTGCTGGTCGGACTCAGCCCGTCACATCAACCTGCTGGAGATGGAGGCAGTGCACAGAGTACTGCTGCACTTTGCCCCTCAGCTGCAGGGGAGACACGTGATGGTGCGCTCAGACAACACCACAGTGGTCTCCTATCTGAACAGGCAGGGGGGCACCAGGTCCCCCGCTCTCCATCGCATGGCGACGGTGACGCTGCTGTGGGCGGCGCTTCACCTCCTGTCTCTCAGGGCGCGCCACGTCCCGGGGGTCCGGAACGTGGGAGCCGACAGGATGTCCAGGGGGGGCCCACTCCAGGACGAGTGGGGCCTGGCCCCACGGGTAGCCGCGGAGATCTGGCGGAGGTTCGGTCGTCCAGTAGTCGACCTTTTCGCCAGTGCAGAGAACGCACAGTGCCCGTCCTGGTTCGCCTTAAGGGCCGCGGACGAGCCGCCTTTAGGCGTGGACGCTCTGGCTCATTACCCATGGCCAGGCGGCCTGTTGTACGCTTTTCCACCGGTGCGTCTCCTGCCGGTCCTACTGCGGAGGATCGAACAGGAGAGGAGGTCGGTGATTCTGGTGGCTCCGGACAGCCCGCATGCCCGGTGGTTCCCCTTCCTGAGGGGCATGGCGGTGATGGAGCCCTGGGCCCTCCCGGACGAGCCGGGGGCTCTAGTCCAGGGGGCAGGAGCCCTGTTTTCACGTCCGATAATCGGCCGCAGGCTCTGGGTTTGGAGGTTGAGAGGCGGAGCCTCGTAGATCTGGGTCTTCCCCCTGCGGTGGTGGAGACAATTCAGGGAGCGAGGGCGCCGTCCACCGTGAGGGCCTACGCCACGAGGTGGAGGCTATTCAGTGCCTGGTGCGATTCCCGTTCCTGGGATCCCAGGTTTTGCCCGCTGGAGGGGGTCCTGGGATTCCTACAGGAGCTTTTCGACAAGGGGAGGGCTGTCGCTACCTTGGCGGTGTTTGCGGCAGCCATTACTTCAGGTCACGACGGGTTCGGGGGATTCACAGCCCGCTCTCACCCGTTGATTAAACGTTTTCTGCGGGGGGCGCGCAGGAGGAGGCCCCCGCTCCAGAGAACGCCTCCGGTTTGGGACCTCAGGGTGGTCCTTAGGGGGCTGTCGGGTTCGCCTTTTGAACCGGCGGCGGAGGCGAGTCCCGATTGTATCGCTTTTAAGACGGCCCTCTTGCTGGCGTTGGCGTCTGCAAAAAGGGCGGGCGATTTGTGTGCGCTCTCAGTCCATGCGTCGTGCCTGTCCTTTGGAGAGGACGACGGCATGGTGGAGTTGTGGCCCAATCCGGCTTTTCTCCCCAAGGTCATCACGTCGGCCTTTAGGTCGAGAGTGATCAGGATTAGGGCTTTCCACCCGCCGCCGCATGCCTCCCCCGAGGAGGAGCGGCAGCACCTTCTGTGTCCTATCAGAATGCTGAGGCATTACCTGGCCATGACGTCGTCATTCAGGTCGGGTGATCAGCTGTTTGTGTGTCTGGGCCCCAAGAACAGGGGCGCCCCGCTGTCGGCTCAGCGGCTGGCGCATTGGGTCGCCACGGCGGTGCGACGGGCGTATCAGGCGCAGGGCCTGGCCCCCCCGGTGGGTTTCAGGTCGCATTCCACGCGTGGGATGGCGGCCTCTACGGCCCTTCTCAGGGGGGCGTCGGTCGAGGACGTTTGCCGTGCGGCTTCTTGGGCGTCGTCCTCCTCTTTCGTCCGGTCTTATCTTTCGGATGTGTCGGACCGGTCGGTGGCCCATTCCGTGCTGAGTGCAGCGGATTGAGTTGGACCGTTGGGTCCCTCCCCTGAGGAGTGGGCCTTCGGTCTATTTTTCCGCCCTGGTGCAGGAGCTCTTGGGAGAGGCATCCTACAGGTGCGGTACATATATGTGTGTTTGATCGGTCTGGTAGTCTACATCAGGAGCTCTTGGGAGAGGCGTCCTGTGACTACGGTTGACCTACGATTGGTGTTACGTGGGGGCGTCCTTGGTAGGAGTGGCCCGGTAACACGCTTTGTTTCTTCTGCCCTGAGTCCTCTCACGGTGTGAGGGTCTTGCTCGGGCGGAGCTCCAATCACCCTTCGCTGGCCTGCTGGGAGTACATGTTCCTACGGCCTCCGCGTTGTGTCCCACTAGCGAAGTCCTAAGGGACGTAGCACCATGACGTAGAATTAATAGTTACCTAATGTAACTTAAGTTCTACGAATAGGTGCGTAGTCCCTTAGCTACGAGCCCATCAGGCCAGCCCGGCTTGGCAGAGTTCAAGAGGGGGTGCGGCCTTGTGCAGGGGCATTTATAGAGGAAGGTGGCTGGTGATTGGAGCAAATTATTTTGATCTCTCTGGCGTCTGTGACCTGGGGGTCACGTGATATCCCACTAGCGAAGTCCTAAGGGACTACGCACCTATTCGTAGAACTTAAGTTACATTAGGTAACTATTAATTACCCAGCATCAGCACCACCCTCTCTTCAGGACGAGACTCGTCAAGTCAGAGAGCACCACCGCAGGAAGTGCGCGGGGAAACGCAACTGTGCGGAATAAACGTTTGTTGCACCGCTTCCTCTTTATAGTAACGAATAATTCTGGCATTTGGCCATCAGTGATCGATCATATTTAGTTGTGTGAAGATTATAAATAAGAATAAAAACAAATTTTGGAAATCGCTTTTATTTTGCACTCACAAACTTGATGTGCGCATGTGTGGCTTTATGGTCCAGAGCGGCTCCCTCAGGATGCGGGAGTGACGCAGGGCAGACGGGAACAGTCTCCGTGAATGAAACCCTGAGGACATGTCCACTTACAGCTGTAGTTTTCTCTGAGCTGATCCACGCAGGACCATCGTGTCACTGTCCACTCACACTGCCGCATTGACTGCGCATTCTGTCACTGTGCGGCTCAGGGCGACTCTCAACCTCAGGTATGATTTTACCAGCGATAACACTAGTGTATACCACACAGGTACGAGACTAACTAAAGCTCCTGCTTCACATTATATCCGCGTTTCGAAATCCTGGGTTTTGGGAAAATTATTCCCATCATGCACCTGCAAAGCGAAGATCTAAAGAAGTCACGACATTAGCTGTTTGCCAATAATGTTGAGCAAGCTCATGTTTAAAACATGCTCTCTCTTTAGGTGATCGATAATCTTCACTGGGAAGTGGTTTGGGGGTTTCTTCCGTTTTGCTACAAGACCACAGAAGACCCTTACTCGCATCATGAATTACCTTCGTCGCCGCCTCTCTGATAGTAATTTCATCTCGAACCTGCCCAATGGCTACATGACAGACCTCCAGCGGCCCGAGGCTCCGCAGCAGAGTCCCGCTGTCTCTCCTGGCTCCGAGCGGCGACAGATCAGCAGCCAGCCGCAGCCTGCTCCTGCCCCAGCCCCTGCCCCTGCCCCTGCAGCCACGGGCTTCTTCTCCTCCATCTCTAACGCGGTCAAACAAACTACTGCAGCCGCCGCCGCCACCCTGTCAGAGGCCGCGGACCGGGCTGGGGTGTCGAGTAACGCCAAGATCCTCCTGGTTATCGATGACCAGCAGACTGACTGGTATGAGCCACTTTGCACACTCACACAGGTGCTACTGCCATCACGTGCCATGCTGGGGCAACGACCTGACTACAGAGGTCGTGAATCAGTGTTAAAGGGCCCCTGCATGGATGCATTTCAGCCTAATGGTGCAGCAGTATCCAGATCTGTGTCTTATTATTTACCCTTGTTGTGCAGGGTGAAGGTTTTCAGGGGAAGAAAAGTCCACGGCGAATCAGACATCAAAGTAGAACAGGTTTGTGTTTTTCACTTTGTCCTTTTGCATACCTTATACTTATAGCATTATAAACGTCAGTCTGTCTGCAAAGGTCTTGAATGCACTTTGTCCAGCCTTTACCTTTACATTGATCTTGATGATGCTTTGCTGTGACGTTACCACAGGCTCCTTGTTCTGTTGTTGTTGTTGCTGTTTTTGAAAAATCTCCCCAGAGACCTCTTTCTAAAAGGAACTGACACAACTCTTTGGAATCAATGCATCTTGGATCTTTTATCCACATGTTGTTGTCTTTCAGGCGGAATTTTCTGAAATAAACCTGGTTGCAAATTCAACAGGTGTTTACAGTGTCACCATAGACGCCATTAGGGGTGGACACAAAGTCACTAAGTAGGTAGCCAAGTACATTACATTGTGTTTATGTGATAGCAGTTTAAAGAAAATATACTTTCATTTTTTTGTCCTTATTCCAGGACCATTAAGCCAGATTTTGTGCTGATTCGCCAACATGCCTTCAGCATGGACAAAAACGGGGACCATCGCAGCATAGTGATCGGTCTACAATATGCTGGCCTGCTCAGTGTCAACTCTGTACACTCTGTTTATAATTTTTGTGACAAACCATGGGTCGTAAGTACTCACTCACAAATACAGGGTCAACAAAACACCACCACCAAGATAAAAATAAAAGTACTTTCACTTTCACAAAGAGTACTTCAATTTGCTGTGTTTGCAGTTTATTGCATACATCTGATTTGTCTTTTATCCTCAACCACAAATATATGTACATGTTATATACAAGGGTACGCATGTGGTAATCTGGTCCTAACTTGACTTGACACATTCAGGTCTAACTCCATTCACTATTTTGAACGTAGCTAAGCGCAGAGACCGGCCTAACGAGAAAATGTGCTGCAACCTCAGATAGACAAACAGTCAAAAATAATACTACTGATATTTCATCCATACAATTCAGCACTTACTTTCTTGGACTTTAGCTAATAAGCGTATACAGTGGGTCCTTAGGCAAGACACTTCACCCACATTGCCTAGAATGAGTCTGGTGTGTGTGTGTGAATGGCTGGTGGTGGTTGGAGGGTCCGATGGCACATTCCGGGTTGCCTCGCCTCTGTCAGTATGCTCCAGGGCAGCTGTGGCTACAGTAGTTTATCACCATTGTGTATGGAGTGAACATGTCTTTGAGTGTCCTGAAAAGCACTACATAAAACCAATGCATTATTATCATTATTATTATTAATATTATACTGTCAATGTAATCATGTCTATTTTTCAGTTTGCTCAGATGTCTAAACTACATAAGCAATTGGGCCCAGACGAGTTCCCGTTGATAGAGCAGATTTATTATCCCAACCACAAGGAAATGGTAAGTCTACTGCCAAACTGGATTGTCATGTAATTGCTGACTAATTCAATTCTGTGTCAATATCCTACTCCAACTTACTGCTGGGATCAAATTAATTCACATTAGGTTTTCTGCGAGTCATGTTTTTCCCCAGCAATGAAAATAAAGATTAATACCTCAATAAAAGCATAATGTTCTTTTTTTTTAATATAGATTTCTTCCACACATTTTCCCCTTGTGGTGAAGATGGGTCACGCTCACTCAGGAATGGGAAAGGTATTCCAAAACTGAATTATTCCATTCCATAATAACACTTTTTTAAATTGCTACTTTTCTTTTTTACCAGATCAAAGTCGACAATCAATACGATTTTCAAGACATTGCCAGCATCGTAGCACTGACCAAAACCTATGCCACTTCTGAACCTTTCATTGATGCAAAATACGATGTTAGAATTCAAAAGATTGGCGAGAATTACAAGGCATACATGTCAGTAACCATAACCATTATTCTAAGATTAGATAAGCAGCCAGATATTAATTTCTTTATTATTTGTTGGGGGCAGGAGGACATCCATTTCTGGAAACTGGAAAACCAACACTGGCTCTTCAATGTTGGAGCAGGTGGCTATGTCAGACAAGTAAGTGTTTACAGAGGCACATCATGTAGGTGATGTCTTCTGATGTTATTAATAGGGTCTTAAACATTATTTTTCAGGTACAAAAAGTGGGTTGACTCATGTGCGGAAATCTTTGGAGGTTTAGATATTTGTGCAGTTGAAGCTCTACATGGGAAAGACGGAAAAGACTACATCATTGAGGTACTAGACAGATCTTAAAGAACGATACTGTAAATGGAGAGTATATTGATTTGTATATGTACAGGCACATTCTCAGAGCCTTCCTTCAAAAGTACATGCATTTAATGTACATGATGTTGTCTTTTAGGTAGACGACTGTTCAATGCCCCTTATTGGGGATCAGCAGGATGAAGATCGAGTTCAAATAGCAGAACTTGTTGTTTTAAAGATGAATCAGTGTGTTCCACGAAAGTCCTCTACAGTGCGTATAACTATTATTTATCTTCTATTGTGTGAATGTTCTTACTTGGTCTGGTGCACTTTAACTGAGACAAATCTGGTTCTTTGGGGAAAAAATATTCCACAGATCAGTGGAATTTTAATTGACTTTCACTGTTTAAGCGTTTGCATACACAAATCAAGCCTTTTTGCCCCAGTTAAGTGAATCAGATCAAGCATTCATCTCCAGATTTCAACTGTTACCTCTTTATTTGTAGAGATCCATTTCTCCCCAGCCAGTTTCGCAACAGCGTCAATCACCGCAGGGTAATTCCACTTTTAAACAACGTTAGTCACTCCAACAATCACCAAAAAAGTGTCATTCTGTTTCAGGTGGTCCTCAGCAGAGCCCTCCTTCTCAGCGCCCATCTCCTCAAGGACAGCCCCCCGCTCAGCCGCTGCCTGACTCTGAGGCTGACCCTAAAGGCAGTGTGACCCAGAGGCCGGTGGCTCCCAGACAAGGCTCCATGTCCCAGCCCCAGAAGCCGGCTCAGAGGCCCGCACATCCCCCCAGGCAGCAGTCACAGGGGGCAGCACCGGCACGTCCTGCACCAGCCACCACCCAGCAGCCTCGACCTGCCACTCAAGGTCAGGGAGGACGACCCCCGGTCCAACAAAAGCCTCAGCCACCTCAGAAGCCAAACCAGGACTCTCCACAAATAAAGTATGTACCATCAAACATATCAGGTTCTCAAAAAGTGACCCCTACAGCTTCAGAGGTGTTGCTTTTGTCTGCAGAGAGACACACATGCCTCTAAAAATCACGCCGTGCTCCAACTCGACATATGAGCCACATGTGAATTTACAGACGCTTTGAGGCATTTCACTCATTTAGATCCAATGTCACAAGTGAAATATCCGGAAAATAGTAGCAAAACATAATAAATCTTAGCCCTTGACCTGTTTTCCTACCAGTATTTTGAAATACAATCCTTTTTAGTAAACAGCTCTTTTGAAAAGACAATACAAATCTATATGCTTTGTATGTTTAAAGAAACAAGTTCTACAAGTATTGGACTTTGTGTACAACACATACATGTACTGTATTTTATCTCCAGATCACCAGTGCTATGTGATCCCTATAATCTGCTTATCCAGAAAAATAAAACATCTACTTTAGTCTAGAAAAAGGATACAAGAAAATAAATGTGGTCAAATAAGTTACTAACATTGTACTTTTTTGTAATTTTGTAGAGTCAGCTGCTAAGTTAATCTCTCTGTTTGCTCCATATCTTTACAATAATACCTGTTATACTTCTCTACTACTGTTGTTTTTGTCGCAAATTTCTTACCAACACCTTACATTTTCCAGAAACCCCAGTGCCACCAGCAGTCAGCCTTAATCATGAGGGAAAGAAGGCTGAGACCATTCGCAATCTACACTAATCCGTTTTCAGTCTCTTCCCGGACTGAAGCTTCCTGAGCCCGACTTCAATTATTACCAAATGAAAAGATGGACAAGATCCTTGGAGGTAGATTTAAGCAAACCTGGGCCATCTTTAAATGTACTGCCAACAATCAAATATTCTGAAAATGAAATTAAACAAGACATTTGTCTATTTTGGCACTTATCTTACATTCCTGTTATCACTTTACTCACTATTATTTGAGAATAGATTCACACCTGCCGTACGACCATGTATATGCATGCCATGTCACTACTGCCCCTATCGTTGGTTCAGTATCACCGTTGTGATTTGAATAAGTTCCCATTTTACAAACAGTGCATTTTAAATGTCCTTTGTGAGCCAGTGCTAGATCTGTTTCAGCTTTTGAGCAGTGATGTTGTAACTGCATGTCGACCAGAGGAAAAAACTTTCCTACATGGCCGCTTGTAATTGTATTGTGATGTGCAGTTGAATCAGTAATAGCTTAGTATCAAATGTGTTGTTGTTGCCTTTTCGAGCTGTTTATGTCCTACATGCTCTCATCATTCCAGAAGCATGCCTTACACTCGAGAATAAGTCTGTTGGAGTTGTCTCAGGGATGTCAACTAGATTTGGATGCTTATGTATGAGGGAGGGTCTTCCAGTGCGGTGGTGGCTGTAAGCTGTAGTTGATAATATTGTTTTTGTGTCTATTATTGTATTATTACAAAGACACATTTGCACAGTGAATAATGTTGATACTTGAACTCAGACAAATATAGCAAAGCATCAATTCTGCGATCCTCTAATGGAGACTGCTGCATTTATTGTAGCAGGGTGCAGCATATAGTTAGGGGGTGAGTACAGTTACACAAAAGATGTTGGATTTTAAGTTCTTAAAATGCTTTGTCGTGTAGTTATATTCCAAAAGAGGCTTGAATGCATAAAAAATGCACTTGATGTTTTGTCAAGTTGTTTTTGTTGAAGTTGTGTTGATTATATTGTGAAACAGCTGAACTTCGCTTGCATTGAGTCAATTCTGAAAAGGCGTTATCAATTCATAGATAACATATTCCAAAAGGTGCACAGCCAAGGAATGTAATAAATCACTCATCTAGATATGCAGTAGTAATAATACTAACAATGGGGTGTCAGCTTAATGGATGCATCAGTAGTTTTAGCAAATTATCTTGACGTTCCCTATAACTTTGCACTTTTTCTGATTAACTTCTGTCTCCAAGCACCAAAAATGTCTTCCAAAAGTGCTTTCTGTTGAAGAGTTTATGGCAATATGCGAAGTGAAGACCCAATAGCCATACAGTTAAATAGTGTGAGCAGAGTTGTTTATTAGGCCTGTTCCTCAGAGCAGAGCGTGTGTAGCCACAGCGTCCCCTAGTGCTCAATAGTGTGAATGTCGTGTAACTGGTTATGCTGCTACCTGTGATGTTATATTAGTACTTTTTAATGTTTTAATGTTGAAAGGTTACTTTGAAGAAGAGTCACTACCTTCACAGAAATCTACGTAATATGGTTGTTTCTTATGGTAAAGATTGTCCATGATGCCTCTTATTGTGCAAAACAAATATTGTCTTTATATCATATTTTTTGCATTTGTTAAGCCCATTTTTTTTTTACGTTTAACGCTGCCTTTCAATTTATAAATGCATTCGGTTGTTATTGTGGAAGTTGGAGCTTATTAAATCCCTGCAACTTCAAATAAATACACGTAGGTACATTTTATTGTGAAATTGACTATGATGGATTTATGAATTTAATGTAACAAAACTATTAATGTTATATGCAATGTAGAGCTATATAAAGAACAAAACATGCACATGTCTAATAAAGTCTATAAAGAAAATTTGAAATGTGATCAGTGTTTTTCTTGTTATCAGCAGATGTCAGGCGTCCTTCTCTCGCCTTCATTTATTCAGGTCAAATGGCTGAGCACTAATAATAGCTTACAGGCAGGATACAAACTGTGCAGTTCTGTGGAACATCTTTAGTTGCACAATTTAAGTCTAACTGTGGCCAATGGAAACAGTTGAAATATACATTGAGCGGTTTTATGGGCGGACTCTTAACAAGCGGAATTGAATGCATTTCCGTTGTGACATAAAGTAATTACACACTTTGTCCAACAGGGGGAGTATGTCCTCTGTTCAGGGGGAATCAGGGTCACATTTTATTGATGTTCCTCCATGCAGTCTGTTTTACAGATTGTTTTACTACTGCCTACAGTATATGATAGTACATCTGCATTCTACACTTTTGCATATTGTCCTTCATAAAAGTATATACATACATCATTTGTTCCTTGATTGTTTCTATTCCTAATGTTTTAGAGGTTTTACATATGTACAACATTAAGCCTACAATAGACACATATCCCTAGAATAGTCATTATTAAGTGACAAGCATCATGGGAGTTAGACAAGGCCACATTGTGAGTGCTTTCTGAGGGTTTAATTAGACCGCCTTGTACCATCGTATGCATAATCCCTTTACTGAACACAACTCTGCTGTTTCACAATTGGAAACAAAGAGCTTGTCTCCTACAATGACACTTATTATTATAGGTCTCTCTTTTGAATAAAAGTCAAATTTGTACTGACATAAAGGGGCTTAGTTGTTATATCCTCTTTATATAATATGATGCACAGCTGCCTCTCAAAAACAATGTGAATGTGTTCACTGATCAACTATGACATTCAAATAACAAATCAGTAGCAGAGAATAACATTGTTAGATTAACAGGAACATGTTTTTTTCTTACGCAGTATCTTTTCTTCTCTGCAGTTTCTTTGAAATGTAAGGTCCATAATAAATAGACAGTATTATTATTCGTGGTAATACATTCTTATATCATTATGCTGATACAAATGGATCCAGTGTTAAAAATTCCAATAATGTCAATGGAATGCAGACTCTTCTTCTCTAAAGGTCAGTTTGATTTGTCAAAGCACCAGGTGTCCTCTTTTCCCCATCCACAGTGTAAACACCTCATTCATTTTCTCCTTCACCTCCTTTCAACAAATCCTAGTTTTCATCTCACCAGTAGGCGCGCTGGAACGATATTGCTCCAGCCTTTAATGTTTGTACAATGACACACTTGATATTATGATCTGTTGCAATCACCCAATGGCTTTTCTAATACACATTACAGCAGGAGGTGCCTTCATGTCCTCCATGATTATCTGAAATCTAAGATGTAAAACATTGTAACAGGACAACATTGTACCATGCTGCTATATGCAGGCAGCGGAGAAGTTATGTAAGCATTGGAATACAACTTTTATGACTTTGCATGCTGCATAAAAGGATTGTAGGATGTAATAGTGGTGTTGTTAGACTAGACCCACGGGAATATACAAGAGGAGGAGGTCTACTGAGCTGGGATATTTCTGGAGCTGACCCATTTTACCACACAGCAAGCAGGTGCATCTGGCAGCAATAGGCTTTATGTCATTATGTAGAACTGAAATGGTGTGTCATCGTGGGTATGAGTTAAAGGAAGCTACCTACAGAAGCTAAGAAAGAACAAATCTTGTGATGCTGATTACAGTCGAAACAAAATTACTGAAGCGAATAACTTTCATAAAATGTTGAAATGTTACGTTGAATGGTCTCTCATTATACACGCCCATAGCGTTAGACCAGTGTCTCCCAAAGTGGGGTCCGCGGCCCCCTGGTGGGCCGCGAGGGTACTGCAGGGGGGCCGCGGGAGGTCATAAAAAAAATTAAAAAAGAATATAATTATTTAATGTTAAATTTATAATGTTTTGTTTGTAATATTCAAATATTTGTGTTCATTATTTGACTTGAATAATCCACTGTAATCATTTTTGTATTACAATGTTTGTAGCAGAGGCTATTTCCCCAAAATAAAATAACCAGAAGAGCCTATTCTTAATGTTGTCTTCTTGGTTATTATTTTGGGGGGCCACGCAGACCCGTCAGATTTTTAAGGGGGCCTCGGTGTTACTGAGTTTGGGAATGGCTGCGTTAGACAATGAGAGCAGCTCGCTGCTGCTTCCCATTGTACTGTTTGAGACGGGATTTCATTTGGCCCACACTGCATAGAAATGTGGCACAAGAGCTTCACTGTCTACTCACACTTGGAAAAGTGGCTCAATATTAAATGAACATTATATAATAAAATAATGGAAAAACACCTTTTAAAAAGTAGTTAGACTAAATGGTCACAGAATCAAATAATGAAAGACTATAGAGCATTTACTAGTTTAACGCTAGCTTAAATAATATTAAATTACTAACATGATGGCAACTGTGATGGGACAATATTTTCAACATATAAACATGGCTTGAAATAGAAACTGCCACGCAGTGAAAATGAAGGAAGGACCCAAAATGCAGGAATGGCAACCCAAGATTATTCATTGATTGTATAAAAAAAAGTCCAACGTAAAAAACAATCTCAAACAGATCCAGGACTATAGACAGACATTGATGGACCAGCAATTAATGGGGAAGAGCATAGGGCACATATAGACACAGAGTGGCATAGGTGAAATACATTAGGGCGGGGCAGACAATCAATTGGGAACAGGACAGGAAGTAAAACTGAAATACAGCTAAAGGAGAACTGAAGTCAAAACAAAAAAAATAAACCAAATAACAAAAAATCCACATCATGACAGACGCACACAATTATCTTTTCTCTGTACGTACAATGAGTGTGCAATCGCCTAGGCTTTTGGTGATTTATAAAATCAGCAGCTCTGAATGTGGGCCTCTTTAAAGAGTGGGCATACATGACTGGTGGTTCCTGAGCCAAAATGGCAGATGATGAGGGATAAGGGGAGAGAGTGCTTTAATTAAACTGCACCATGGGATGTCTTGCTCCAACTCTTCAGGACAAAGGAGTTTGTGTTTTCAGTGGCAGCTGCGACTACTTCACTGTATGTGTACTGGAACAACATGTCATTGATACGGATCTACACAAAGCATGAAAA